GATTTTCTGTTTACAGCTTGAATTGGATAAATCCAAATTTAAATGATTATAAATTGGAGTCAGATTAAATTCAGAGTTGGAAACAATTAAAATTAATTTTTAATAAATAAAATTTTTTATTTTCACGTGCTAAAAGGGATTACAAGTATTTAACCTTCACCCATGCTGTTAGTTCCATCATTGGACTAAAAGATGAACCCTTACAATAATAATAGTATTAGTATTAATAATAATAATAATAATAGTAGTAGTAATATATAATATTAAAGTGATTTCTGAAGGATCTTGTGACTGAATGGAGTAATGAAGCTGAAAATTCATCATTAAAATCACTGGAATAAGTCGCTTCGAATACCCCCCCACACACACACTTTATTTATAACATATAAATACCATACTGACCTCACAGTATTATAGTGTATATACAGTTGAAGTCTTTGCCTTTGATTGTTTTTTTTCTTTTTTTAAATATTTTCCAAATTATGTTTAACAGAGCAAGGAAATTTTCACAGTATGCCTGATAAAAAAAAAAAATTTCTAGAGAAAGTCTTATTTGTTTTATTTCGGCTAGAATTAAAGCAGCTTTAAAAAATTTTAACACTATTTTAAGGTCAAAATTATTATGCCCTTTTAAGCTATATTTTTTCTTGATGGTCTACTGTTATACAATAACTTGTCTAATTACTCTAACCTGCCTAGTTAACCTAATTTAGCCTTTAAATGTCACTTTAAGCTGTCTAGAAGTGTCTTCAAAAATATCTAGTCAAATATTATTTACTGTCTTCATGGCAAAGAGAAAATAAATCAGTTATTAGAGATGAGTTATTAAAATTATTATGCTTAGAAATGTTTTGAAAAAAATCTTCTCTCCATTAAATAGAAAATGGGGAAAAATAAACAGGGGCTAATAATACAGGGGGGCTAATAATTATGACTTTAAATGTATCTAAAAAATCATCCCAGTCAATGTAAAGTTTATTCTATGGCTTGGTAAATAGAGCTATTTAAGTAATCTGTTAAAATTGTATTTGTATCGCAATATATATTGCAGAGAAAAAAATTATTGTAATGTCAATTTTACCAATATCATGCAGCCCTAATATAGGCATCTACAATATGAAAGAAATCAAGTCAAATGTGTTTTAATTATTTCTGGAAAGACGTTGAAAGACATGCAATCTCATTGAAGGATTCCTTTGATTCAATATTCCTTTAATTTCAGTCATTTGACCATTCAGGAATGAGAAAATACAGGATTTTCCACTGACATCCCTTTGTATACTGTGAATTATTAACACGAAACCTGACTAAATAAATTAGAACCAAAAAAATAAGAGGAGAAAATAAGACTTCCAACACATCTTTGAGGTTGTGCTCACAACTCGACCTACAGAGTTTGCATTCGGTATATGGTACACTGTACAATGCAGCATGAAGAGTGAAAAACATCAATAAAATAAGACCACAGAGACAAACACAAATGATAAATAAATAGGAATTAACAAGACAAATCATAATTATAATAAAAAAAAAAGATCACACTGACAGACACACACAAATTCAAACACCGGTCCTTTGTCCAAATCAGCCAAAAATGATCCTGAATCACATTTAAAAGGGTCCTTGCAGGGAAAAAAACACAATGTGTCCACCGTCGTGCCTTATAAGTCCTCTGAACACGCTCCTCCTGGGTCGTTTTGCACTCTGCATGGCTTTCGTGTCTACAACGTCAAACATTTGATCAGTTTTTAGTGAAACTAGGCAGCAGATTCAATCCAGTCTTTTGTACATTCCTGCGTAGAATCCAGCTCTACACAGTTAAGATCTGAAACTGTCTTCACACACACACTCTCTCTCTCTCTTCCACACCCACACACACATATATCCACCCACTCACACATACTGTAGATACAATAAGGCTGAAACAGGTGCTAGAGTTACAGGTATGACTGTTATGTAGCGCGTTCAGTTTGTCCAATCCGTGTCAGGAGGAAATCACAGCGAGACTTGCGTTCCAAAGAATTGTGAATTTCCACCGTTGAAATAGTCTCTGTCAAAGTCTACACACACACACATTAACTGGCATTCAATGTTATCCTTTACAAAAGCCTTGCTGTTTAAACGAGCGTCCTCTGATTTCTGTTGAGAATCCAAAATAGCAAGTGAATTTCCCATTGGGTCTCATTCCTTTGTGAGTTTGCTATTCCAACAGCAGGTTAGGGGGAATTATCTTGGCATGTGGGTCGGAAGGTCTTTGTCGCCTCAAAAATCTACGTAGAAGTCCAACCTGCTAGATAAGCATCTTTACATCCTTTGAGGCTCATTCAAGAGGCGATGTATTCACAATTAATTGACGTTTATTTCTGAGGGCTACCGTTAGGTTAATGGCTTGTCTTGTATTTCCTTCAGTCCTCTCTGCAATGTTATAGGAAATAGTGAAATACGCTTTGCATGAGGATATCACACAGGAAGCAATGCGGAGCTGAATAGTGAGTGGAATTGAGTAAAGAAGTCCGCTTTGGCTCCCATCTTCTTTCATATACATTATAATTATGAAGGATAGCTCAGTCCAAAATCAATACGTTGTTCTTTCCTTACAGAAAAAAAATGCTTCACATGAGCTTCATATGTTATAGCACACATGTGAAACTAGTCAAGTAACCTTTATCCCTTTAACTGCCTGCTGGACCAAATGGTTGACCACATTTTGACTGACTATTTTTTTGAGAGGAGTACCTAACTTAACTAAACCTGATTGAGCCATCTCTACCGTTTGGTTGAAGTATGTTATGCCAAAAAAATCCACTAGTTGTCACTAACTCAATCAACAGCACTCGACTAAACATTGCTTCTACCATTGAAGTCAAAAACAAGGAATTCACTCCTGACGTGTGAACTGTTTTTGATGAAAATTTGCAAGGTAAGCATTTCTCTTTTTTGACATATTACCCTCTAAGAGCCCTAACTTTACAAAGTTATGTTGCTTGGTGCCATGAAAAATATTTAGTGTGTTTGTAATAATTTTTTGAAAAACATGCTCGACCAAACGGTTGATTGGTCACTTTATGGTAAAGGTAGAAAAGTCTGAATGGACTGTTTGCTGAGAAATATCAACTTTCGATCATTCACACAATAAATATGATACAGCTTGGTATTAACTCATGAATATACAGAGATAATTTCTTAAGAATGTAATTTTTTGTTGACATTTTAGGATATTTTTGGAGTAAATATAAGGAATTCTTAGAACTAATGTGTGGAAATCACACTTTTCAAAGACGATTACCTCTTAAATGGCAAACGCTGGCGTACTAACATTAGCACAATTGTAAGAGACTGATATTTGATTGTTTGTTTGTTTTTTGATGGATGTCAACTGTCAATTGTAAAACCAAGAAAACATGTACATTTCTGTGTTACATCTGAGAAACTGAAATAATTGATGGCTTATGGCTACAATTTAGTATTCTAAAAAAGGTTTTAATTTATAATATAATTTATATTAGGTTTGTATATTTATTATTTCTGGTACTTTTACCATAAACCGTTAATCTACCATTTGGTAGAGGCTGATATTTTAGAAATTATGGGATGTGTTGAAAAAAAAAAAACATTAATTGTGTTAATTAGAAACATTAGGATTTAAAAATGCAATCAAAAAAATATATTGCTTTTTTCTTGATATGGCAGTTATTTTTAAGGGTTTTAAGGGTTATTTTTACTGCACTTTACACATTGTGTCAAAGATATTTTGGCACACATATGAAATGTGATCATTTATTAATTTTCCTTCGGCTTAGTCCCTTATTTATCAGGGGTGACCACAGCGGAATGAACCGACAACTATTCCAGCATATGTTTAACACAGCAGATGCTTTTCCAGCTGCAACCCAGTTCTGGGAAACATCCATACACTCTCATATTCCCACATACACACACTCATATACTACAGCCAATTTAGTTCATCCAATTCACCTGTACCGCATGTCTTTGGACTGTGAGGGAAACCGGAGCACCCAGAGGAAACCCACACAAACACGGGGAGAACATGCAAACTCCACACAGAAATACCAATTGGCCCAGCTGGGACTCGAACCAGAGACCTTTTTGCTATAAGGCGGCAGTGCTAACCACTAAGCCACTGTGCCATTCTGATTTTGAAATATTCCGATTTTTACATTAAAATGGTCTGAGAGCACGTTCCGTGTGTGTTTCATATGAATTTCATGTGTGTTTCACATATAAAGCTCATCTTTTTTTCTATTTATTACTCAATGAGAAGAAATAAAAAACAGTTTGTAAACAATTCCGGCTCCCACCGACTTCATTGTTTTTTGGTGTATACAATAAAATGCAATGGGAGTTGAAACTGAAGATAATCTGACCTGCAACCATTAGGCCACAATACATTATAATACATTTTATAAACCACCCAGGACCACTGTTTCAGCTAAAAATCTTTTGGTGTGTCCCACAAAAAAAAAAAAAAAAAAAAAAAAAACTAAAAGTCTGGAATGAGTAAAAGTGGAGCTGTGGTGAAAAATATTCACTTTTGAATTGAGGTGGTGCTGTATGCCTTACAAACAGCCGAACTCTGCATGCATCCAATACTTAATGATTAATCTAAAATAATTATAAATAAATAATTTATAATGAGCTGAATCAACAAAATTCTTGAGTCTTTTTTGGGGAGCATAGCTTAATTGTTTTATGTTCAATCAACTTAAATTTGCAAAAACAATCGTTAACTTGAACCAGGGAAGCCCAGACTCTGTTCGGAGGGTCGGTGTCCTGCAAAGTTTAGTTCCAACCCCAATCAGACACAGCTGGCCAAGCTAATCAAGCTCTTACTAGGCAGTCTAGAAACACCCTTGCAGGTGTGTTGAAGCAAGTTGGAGCTTAAATCTGCAGGACACCGGCCCTCCAGGATCGAGTTTGGGCGCGCCTGACTTAAACGATTTGTTTTAGGACACCATGAGGTATTTGTGTGGAACCCTGCATTTTTTGTACTTAGTGTGTTTGTCTTGATTATAGTCCAAATATCTACAAACTCTTAAATCAAGAAGCGTTTTCTAGACATGTAAAACATATTGTCTTGTTTTAAGAAATAATCTGACAAAAAAAGGGAGTTTTTCCATCTGTCAATGGGCTAGGTAAAATAATCTTAGCGATTACAACGTGAAAACAAGATTATTCAGCTAAGTAATTTGCAGTGTCGCGAGCTGTGTTTAATCTTGTGACATAAAAGCCAACTGACATAAATGTAAATGTTAAAACTAGCTTAGACTGCCATTTAGTATTAAAAACTAGGCTCAGAATCGATTCAAGAGAGTACAGCCATGCATTTTGAAAATCTCAAATTTGATTTGCTCAAATCTTTCGCCACAGCTCGTAGCAAAATAACAGCAAATTAAAGTTTTGGCTGAGCTATCCTCATTAAAGAAGATTGTACAATCGTAGTGACGACTTCATGCTTTATACATGTTGGCGGCAGTAGCGAGCGCTAACTGCCCGTTAGCCGCAACCACACACGGTTCCTCCTCCAATAGCCCATTTGGATCGGCATGCGGGATGCTGTCGTGGTAGCTGCTAAAACTGATGTTGTCCTCCTTGAGCTCAATGGTCCAAAACGGGGCATTGAGTTTCCGATTGCGGTACTCACGGTACGTGTACACCCCTCCGACAAATCCCATGAGGAGAACCACGACCACGATGATGACGGCGAGGATAATGATGTTGAATTGCGTCCAGGAGACCACTGTCAGAGCCGAGGCAGTGCTGTTGTGTCCTGCGGAGTCTCCTGTGCCTGACTGAAGAGTCGGGAGGCTTGGGTTGGTCGTGGGTGATGAGGAAGTGAGGAGGCGGGAAGAAGGTGTAGAAGAAACTGAAGTTGTCGGGAGGACTTTCACAGCTGAGAGAGAAAGAGAGAGAGAAAGTCAATGATTAAACGGTGAGTGTGTTAGCAGACATGATAAAAGATATACAGTAAATTTGAAATAAATAACTTGGAGCAATGGGTTTGCTATAAACTAAAACAATAAAAGAAACCAAGACATAGATTAGGATTGAGTTTATGCCTACTCTATTTGCACTGCAACGTTTGAACACTGTAAGCACTGTAAATAGGCTTTGATTTTATTTATTTTATTTTATTAGTGCTGACAGATTTTAATACAATTTTCACTGTGAAATTGCAATCAATCAATCAATCAAATCAATCTTTATTTACACTATTAAGACATTTTATATTATTTTTGCGGTAACTTACTGACAGAACTGTTGCCAGCAAGTTACCGCAGCTGCATCTTTACAGTAAGTAAATGTGTTTTACAGTAGCAGAGCCCTACCGCAATTTCATTTTAGGGTAAAATAGCCTCATCTCAAATCATTAAAAAATCTGTAAAATAGCCTCTAATTATTCAAATTAATTCATTCTATTTTGTATTATCATACCGAAAACAGTCTGCAGAAACTCTTTGATTGACATTCTCCCATTGTACATGTCATCAGAGAGGGAAAGCCCAACCCATTAGTGACTATCTCTCCCTCGTTAGCATAATAACAGCCCTGAGTGGGAGGCAGCCGTACACCTTTACAGTTTTCAGCAGCTGAAGATAATGTCAGCAACTAAAAGGGTTATAAATTCGGAGTTTTAGATGCACTAATGAACACTGCAGTCTCCATAGACTGATTTTTCTTGAGACACTTCTTTTCAAATTTTCCGTTTTTCACACTGCTTATGCACAGATGTTTGTAGCCCCTCCCTCTTTTGAAAAAGAGCACAATCTCATTTGAATTTAAAGCGACAGTGAGCAAACTGGCACAATTTGAAGCCTAAAAAAGGCAGTTTCAAAAGGTTATATAAAATGATCTTTGCTGTATTTTGAGTCGAAACTGCATGTACATCTGATTTTACATCTTCCTGAAAAGGACTTAATAGCTCCCCTTTAAAAGATATCTTTAAGTTTAAACAATAAATACTAATTTACAGTATTTTAAGGTGGCCAAGATATCAATATTGTGTATGTTCGTTAAGGGTGTCACGATTCCGATTTTAAATCGAAATCTATCAAAATTCATGCTAAATCTCAATAATCGAATCAAAAAAAGGAATTGTCGAATCTGGCATGCCCACATGTCATGTCAGCTTGGCTTGCCAAGCAAAAAAGAAGTGCTGCGAGTCAAACCGTAAGCTTCAAAGACAAACGATAGCATGGCAACTGCAGACGCAGGAGACCCGACGACAGAACTTGAACGCCCTCCTCTTTCACTGAAATCACTGGTGTGGAAGTATTTTGGATTTCCAGTGAGTTATGTTGTCAACGTTCATGTTGTCGACAAAAAAAAACTGTTTATACCACATTATTCCACAGGCAGCACGACTAACATGGCACGGCATCTCAGCAGGCACCACGAAAACATAGATTTACAGTATCTGTTAAACCGACAAGTGTAACACAAACTAGTCTCCTGTCTTTATTCGGAATAAAACTTCCAAGTAACTCAACACATGCAAAGACAATTGCAAGTTCGGAAGGAATCTTTATAGCCGCAGACATGCAACCTTAGTCAGTAGTAGAAAACTCTGGTTTTAGGCATTTAATAAGCGTGCTGAAACCGCACTACAAAATCCCAAGTACAATGTATATTTTGTATAAGTTTTCAATTGACTGAAGATTTAGGTTATTGTACCATTATATTGTTAATAAATATTTTAAATGGTAGATTAAATGTGTGGTACATTGCGAACAAAGGTCAGATATTATATTGCATAAATGTCTTAAAATGGCAAAGCTTGTGCCCCCAAATTATACTTTTTAAAATCAATAATTGAAACGAACCGTTACTTTAAAATCAAAAATGTAATCGAATCGAGGATTTGGAGGATTGTGACACCCTTAATGTTTGTTATAACGATTTATTGAATTATTGAATATCAGCATACTGTGTCAAGCTGACAGCTACAAATAGTCATTTCAGAACTCTAGACATGCTCAGTTACATAATACAGTAATAATTTTAATTTTAACACATTTTCTTATTAATCTTTATATTCATGTATAAGTATCATGTGCCCAGTAAAAAACTGAACAGTGATCAGTGATTTCAAAATGTTTCTAATTCTATTTCTATATAAAAAAATCAATAAAAAATAATTCAAATAGGTCACCAAAAGGAAGCAGCCGAGACATGACGTTTTAATCACATTATGATATTTACAATGGACTACTTCCATGTTTGTGTTTTAAGTACTGTGACACCGGCACTTGACATAAGCCATTTATGCATTTACAAGCAAAACGGAAGTTAGCACTTAGCTGATTTATGTGTATGTGCAGCATATGAGGCATATCTGTTGAAAGCTAAACATGTTTTTCAACTTGTCCACCTCATTCACTCTACACTTAATCTAATGTCAGACACCATACTCCATGAAAAAATGATGTTATCAAGACAATCTGTCAACTATAAACAACTTTTACTAACAGAGCTTCTAATGACTAGTAATAAAATCAGTAAAAATGACCCAGACACCATAAAGCTTGCATTCATTAAGCGTGATTCATGCAGTCATATCCAGGCAACCACTTCAAAAAACAAAAGCACTGAAGCATGATTACACCATAAGGGGTAATGATTAAAAATGCAGTGACGCATGACTGCTTCAGATTACAAACAGTCACAATCTATTCAAAAACTGCAGAGGAAATGATCAAAATCCTTCATTTTTGACAAGTATGCAATTTAATTTTTCAATCTTTTTTGCCTGGAAACATTTACCAAAATTCCATTTTGAGGTATTTTGAGAAAGAATGAACAGCTAGATTTGTAAATGTTTACAGCGATTTTCAAAAGAATACTTTATTAGGTGCACCTTACTAGTACCGGGCTGGATCCCCTTTTGATTTCAGAATGCCCTTAATCCTTCGTGGCATAGCTTCAACAAGGTACAGGAAATATTCCTCAGAGATTTTGCTCTGTATTGACATGATAGCATCAAACAGTTGCTGCAGATTTGTCACCTGTACTACAATAAACCACTACCCCCAGCCCGAACTGTTGATACAAGGCAGGATGGATCCATGCTTTTATGTTGTTGCCACCGAATTCTGAGTCTAGCATCCAAATGTTGCAGCAGAAATCTAGACTCATCAGACCAGGCACACTTCTATTGTCGAATTTTGTGCCCACAGTAATGCCGCTAACTGGATATTTCTCTTTTTCGGACCATTCTCTGTAAACCCTAGAGATGGTTATGAGTGAAATTCCCAGTAGCTCAGCAGTTTCTGAAATACTCAGACAAGCCCGTCTGGCACCAACAATCATGCCATGAAATTTTTCACAGTATTTCGAAAAATATTTTTTTATATAATATATATATTTATATATATAATTTATAATATTCTTAGCCTACTTGTTTAATATCGGCTGAAATAAAAGCAGTTTTTCATAACCATTTTAAAATGCCTAATTACCCTAACTTGCCTAATTACCATAGTAAAGCCTTTGAATGTCACTTTAAGCTGAATACTAGTATTATAAAAAAAAACTAGTAAAATATTATGTGCTGTCATCATGGCAGATAAAATATATCAGTTATTAAAACTATAAAAGTGTTATATTTTAATGGTTAACAGTGTGAATTACTTATGCACAGGTCTAATCAGTTATTCCATTAAACAGCAGTTCCTTTAGTAATTCCATAATTACCATTAATAAGGATCAAATTAAGATAATTGAGAGATTTACCAATACCTGATTCTTTAGGTTGGAGCTGCAGTTCAAACTATTCTTGTTGATATCTTGGAGTGAAAACATAGACTGAACTTGAGGCCGTGGGTGACCTGGTCCGTTAAGCTCAGTGCACAGACAGCGAGACCATCCTCTCGGAACCGCAGTATAAACAGCCATCATTTCAACATAAGTGTGTGTGCTCTAACCGAAAGCGGGAGACACGACTCTATAGCAACCTCTCATGAAACAACCTCTCCAATGCAGCGCCTTGCGATATTTGTAAACAAGTCATATGATTCATATTTCTTGTCTTTTAACAGTAATGGAGGAACGCCGCCAAATGTAGTGAAGTAAGAGTAATAATTTTTCTCTAATAATTCACTTGAGTAATAGTAAAAGTACACATGTTTAAATGTACTCAAAAAGTACACGTTACTCAAGAATTTTACTCAAGTAAATGTAACGAAGTCAATGTAATTCGTTACTACCCACCTCTGGGTATTTATAAATGGAAGTTGCCGATTGCTTATGTTTTTCTATGAGATATCATTTCAACACTCAGATTACTGAACATGTTACGGATTAATGCCATCAAACTCTCGATAAGTCTTTGGGTGTTTGTGTTTGGCGTGTCCTGATTGTTCTTCAGTCAGATATTATGACAACTGAGATATTACATCATGACATCATTGAAACATGTTTATACAGTCTGACAAGCTACAGAAAAGATGTTATGGAAATATGTTTTAGTCTCATAGTATTGTAGTATTGTTTAATGAAAACACCATGATTTCGCAATAGTTTATTTATTTTTTTATTTTACAGTTTTTCCTCCATTGCTTTGGCTCATTTCTTGAAACAGAAATTACATTCTCAAAATAACATGGACAAATCTCCAAACCACTTAGCAATTGTTCACAACAGACTTGAATTTCTCATTCATTTCATCAAATTGCAAATGTCTAAGTACATCTTTGCAAATGATTAAGTACAGATAGCCGACATTTAGCACAATTTCCAAGTAAATAGATTTAGTTGATCTAAACTGATTATTGATTCTCAGTCTAATGGGTGATCTCTCCAAAATGTGTCAGCGTCATTTCCTTGTATATGTAATTACCTGCACAATAGTCTGTTCAATTGTCAAAAGTAGTCAAGACCATAATACTATGAATACCATACAGTAGGTGAATCCTCAGAACATTTGATTACAATTTATTACAGCTATTTATTTTTTATTTGTATAGCTTTTTGCTCTGGTGTACGGAACTTTACTTTGTGTGTGGTTGATCATTACAATATAAAAAGGAGTAACCATTTCCTTGGCATTATGAGTGCAGTGTGTGATGTCAAACCTTTGAGGCAACTCTTACCCTAAAATCCTTTCTTTTTTCAGTTTTATACACAGTTGTATTCTGTTAGCTAGACAAAAACATTAGTGGGCTGGGCTAAGACTGTGTAAGAATTGAAATATTACAAATATTTTTGATGTCTTTGACAATTCAAAACATGAGCTGAAAACAGAGACTGTTGATTTCACAACCCAGCAGGTGGGAATGCGGGAAAAAACAGTTCCTGCTGTATTTGCATCTGAGTCTGCTGAAACTCGGCTTCAACCACCCCAACTCACACATATGGTTATTTCAATGTTTGAATGTTTAGATTAACCAAAGTGACTTTATCTATCATGTTTGATATCATTTCAAATGTCTCAGTGCGACTGGTACAATGGTCTCATTCTCTCAGAAATAGACATAATCAAAACAATAAATATATAACTTCAGGCATCTTTTGAACCACTGTGAAGGGTGTGACTTTTCCACAGGCAGCACTAAATGTGAATGCCTTTTGTTATGCACACACCCCTTTCCTTGAGGGAATTATTGGATTACTTAAGGTAAGGTTTGAGAAAGGCTCAGGGCGATTCTGCTTAACCAGATCAGCCCGTAACATGGAGCTTACGCTCCACGTTATGTATAATTTGAAGTCAGGTATGTATCTTTTCATCTTGGATTTATCTTTGATAATTTGATGTTTTGTATTGATCATTTATGAATTGACTGATTGAATTGGCATAATACATTTACCTGATTAATAAATTGTTGTGTTTGAACATATTTTGCTCACTCTGTAATTATTGGTTCTAGTAGATTACGCTGTATCCTTGTTTCCGCACGTCTTGCGTCAGGTCAGTAGACGGACTAAAATCCAGTTGAGATGGAGCATTGGGCACACTAATTGTGTTTTAGGGATCCGACAGACTCTTGATATTGATTCAAGTGTACTTAGGTGGAAAGGGCGTTAACTTCCGTCTAGGTCAACAAGTTGTTGCACAACTAACCTAGATTGGGTACCCGACCTTTGTTTGAAGGTAATATTATTCTAAATTAAGTTCATATGGGAAACCATGGGGTTGGTGAAAACCAAAGTTACTATAGAGTCCAGTAGTCGGGTACATTTATAATAATGCCCTAACCTCTAATTAGAAATGATATTGTCTTAACTCAAGGGTGTACACCTAAGCGGGACTAACTAAAGTATTTTAGAACGAGCGCGCTGGTATCGGCCATCTAAAGTTTTAGTCAATTACCTCTGTTTAATATTCAAGACTGACCAGAGTGTGACTGTGAGGGACGCCTTCGACCGAGGCGATTTCTCTGAGCGACATGAGCACCCGAATGAACGGATGTGATAGTTACTAGTGAAGACAAAAGGTTCAAACATTTATCTAAATTACATATTGATATAATCTTCTTAATGTTTTATAACTGGAGTCAGATAAAACGAGGATAAATATATTAATATTCTAAACCACCTCATACTAAAATTGGAGTCAGATATGAGTTAAGTTTAATATAAATCAACATTGTGCACCGGAAAGACCGAACATGCAGTGAACCTTCATCCACCATTGGATACCGTCATTGGACCAACTGGATGGACCTTACAACTGTAAGGTGGATATGAGGGATATTTTAGTGGTCCTTTGCCATAATGACAAATCATCTAAACATTTTTGACTTGCAGTGCTTACACAATGCTAAAGGGACAAAGCATTTTGGGGGCACTGACTGTTTAAATGAGAAGGAAATTTAGTTTTGACACATGAGTGAACTATTTTGGGAAAGGTATGAGCTTTTCCAAGTGAGCTATAGTGTTGTGCTAAACTGTAACACTGTAACTGTAACACAACTGCATGTTATCGCACGACAGAGCCACAGAGAACGCCCTCCGACAAATCATGCAGTTGGCTTGATAACCATTTCTAACACTCTGCAGCCAGGTATCTGTTTCCTCCAACTCTTTGCAGTACTTTTGCAGTCGCTACAAAATGGGACGCGCAATTTCATTCTCAAATACAGGACGATTCCATATTTTGAGGGACTGGTGGCAACCCTAAATGTATTTGCAGTTCATAACAGCACCAAATTCCTGGAGAATGAGTTAGTTAGCTAAATAGATTAAACATGAACGATTTTACATGTTAATCTTACTGCTTGATGAAATATTGATCAAAAATTCTGTATAGAATTTTAAACTATTTACAGGCCTGTTTTTTCTGTTTCAAGAAGAGTCAAACCAATGGAGAAAAACTGTAATCTGCATTTATTTAAAGGTTACAGAGGAAAATCTGTATTGGAATTCTGACTAGTGTCACTCTGCAGCTGTTGTGAGGTTTTCTCCTAGGTTTTACCAACCTAAATTGAAAAGCCTCCCATACTCACACACAGACAGAGGTGTACCTGTTCAATTTTGGTATAATTTTAAAGTGAATCTTGTAACCTAACATCTCCTTTACTATTCTATTTTACTCTAACTACACCTGAGAGAACTGTAATCAGTAATTTAAGGCATGTAAGCGACGATGTTCCCAAAATGCATCATACCTCTCAGGGTGCAGTTGTGACGTCGGGCGTCCCCCGTGTATCCACGAGCACAGATCTCACAGTGAGCTCCCGTTGTGTGGTTGACGCAGCGGTGGCAGTGGCCCGTCTCAGGGTGGCATATTTGTGGCACGGAGCGAGGGTCCGCGTTCCCATTACAGTCACAGGGGATGCACGTCCCTGCCGATTTAAACAAACCATCCGTGCAGGAGTCACATGTCGGGCCAGTGAATCCAGGCTTACATTCAGCACATACAGGGCGTCCACTGGAATCTGTAAATGAACAAAGACAGAAAGTAAAGGATTTGCAAGCTTTTGATGAGCATACCATCATGATCTACATGTAAGCTACAAGTCAATGTGCTTCTGTGTTTGTGTGTTGGTGGTTTTGTACACTTTGTTTAAAATCAGCAAATATATAAATGAGATTTGTGATACAATTAAAGTGAAGCATTCATTTAATCCTTATTTTCCTCAGAGTAAAATAAATCATCCACCCATACAGTTAGTTGAGGGGCACAAACAAAAAAATAATTTGTATATTTTCTTAAAAAAATATATCTTTTTGAATTTTTTACTTAATTTTTATGTATCTTTTGTTGATCAGTTATCAACAAACACGAATAACATTTGAGGTGATGAGCTTCAAAACAAGTGCAATATAACACTTTCCGCTAAACACCTTAATATTTTAGAAAACGTAGTTAAAGTTTGTAGAACCAATGATTGATCTTATCCACTCATGACCCACCCATAAGTAAGCTATAATTATGCATGCAGCCTATTTTTTGATTACCCGACAAGTGCATTAACAGCAGCACTCACTGTAATAAGCGAGAAATGATGAGCACAGTGTCATCCACGTGACGGAACTCATCGTGAAGATGGGGGAAAAATTAAACATGCTAGACTTTCTGCAATGGTGTCGTGAGGTGTCACAGACATGGTATGATATCGGCACACTATACTAGAAGAAACGATTGAATCTTGTGTCACAATGCCCATTTGTCATTTACGAATCTCTGCAACACCCCACGTCAAGGAAATTGTGTGATTTTTAGTGTTAATACATGATTTGAAAAAAATCTTGGTATTTGTTAAAAATGTCCTTAAGAAAGTTCATTTCATAAAAAAATAAAATAAAAAAATAAAATAAAAACATTCTGGAAGCATTAAAAGCAGGACAGTTCAGTAAAATGTGTTCAACAGTAGAGGGAGTTGTGTTTTTATTGGTCATATTCTCTCATTATTACATTTCATTTCACTCTGTTTGAAATGTGGCTTGTTGAAACTAAAATCTTAGCAACTTCAATGTCAGCCTGTATCAGGTCACATGTTTGTATTTGTTATACATTTATACAGAAACAAATGAAGGTTAAAGGGTTATAACAGAGCTATGAACAACCACATAATGCATTTTTTTGGATCTTATTAAAGGATCTTATTTTTAATACTGTTTTCCAGCATTAGGAAGGCTGGTTCTTTGGACTGTTTTAGAAAGCTAATTAAAACTCATCTTTTAGGACTGTTTTAAATTTGTGATATTTTTTTATTCTCACTGTGTCTTTATTGTTTTATTGTGCTTTGTTGTTTTTAACTGTTTTGTAAGTGCTTTGGGTCTGAGATAAGTGCATTATAAATAAAACATATTATAATAATCATAATAATTATTAATATTATTATTATCTTGTCTTAATTTAATTGAAATGAATTTTTTTATTTGATAGATTTTAGACAAGCTGTACAAGTATCCCATACATTTTGAAATAAAAACTGCTGAGGATAAAAACACAATTAAGCCCTGGGCATGTTTCCATTGCAGTGCTCGCTGTTAAATAAAACAAACTATGGCTTCAAAATACAGATGATGCATAAAACAAACAATACCTCCACATTTTAAAACAGGAATAAAATAATTCACAAACGCATTCCTTCATTCATTCATTCATTCATTTTCTTTTCATCTTATTCCCTCTATTAATTAGAGGTTGCCACAGTAGAATGAACTTTCAACTTATCCAGCATATGTTTTACACAGCGGATGGCCTTATTGCTGCAACCCTATTCACAATCAAGTAACATATAAAATAAAACATCCTCGTCCACCATGCAATCTAATTATCCTCATCAAACAACCATCTTTTGATAGCTTTTTTGAACCTCCTTAAGTCTTTTATTTTCTTGATCGATTTTGGTAATATGTTCCACATGATTGCACTTGTATATAAGAACATATTTTCCCCACTAGACTTCAAAATTTAAATAAACAAATATTAAAATCACTACCTCTAGTACTGTATGAATGCTGTTGCCTTACCATTTGAAAACAGTTCATCAAATAACTAGGAACCACATTATTAAACATTTTACGTACCATTCCCAGTTAAAAAAAACATACTCTATTACTAACAGTTAAAATGCCTAATTATTTAAAAAACTCTTTGTGCAAATGTGCTCTAGGATGATTTTTTTACATTATTTGTACTAGTTTATTTTGTGCCTTTTGCAATTTTTTCTTTATATTCTTGGAGCAGCTACTACCAAAAAGAGGTAGCATAATCAAAATGGGGTTGAATCAAAACCATTCATTCATTTTTGTTCCGTTAGTCTCTTCTTTAACAGGGATCGCCACAGTGGAATGAACCACCAACTATTCCAGCACATGTTTTACACTGCAGATGCCCTTCTAGCCACAACACAGTATTGGAAAACACCCATACACACTCTTTCACACATGCACTCATACATTTCAGCTAATTTAGATTTATTCACCTATTCACAATTGACCTATAGTGTATGTCTTTGTACTGTGAGAGAACCAGCGATCTTCTTGCTATGAGGTGAAAGTGCTACCTATGAGCCACCATGCCGCTGTCTTCATTATTGCTGACTTAAAAATTAAAATCAATCAAATCTGCTTTCCAGTAATAATCATAATTTTTTGAAAATTGAAAAAAACTTGTGGTCTTATGACAAAAACATAATAGTAAAAGTATTATAATTATATTTATTATTAATATTAGTAGTAGTAGTAGTAGTAGTAGTAGTAGTAGTAGTAGTAATAGTAGTAGTAGTAATGTATTGATTTATACATCGTTACTAACTAAAATATTGCAAACAATTACAGGTGAAGAGGCTTTTAAAAAAAGCTTTAAATTCACAATTGCATTCAGTGCAATTCATCTGTTACTATCCAGCACAATAGTTTCTGGATTTTGTTATGTCAGGATTTACAAGGATAAATGTAACCATGTTGAATACTGTTTTCCAAGTTTAACCACAAGGTGGCATCACAGGACCACATTTACAACACAAAACCCAGTCAACAGAAGTGCAGAATAACAAAATTGAATCTATAATTAGGAACAATATAATTTTATTTGCTATTCAATTTCAAACAATTGTGTGTGTGTGTGTGTGTGTGTGTGTGTGTGTGTGTGTGTGTGTGTGTGTGTGTGTGTGTGTGTGTGTGTGTGTGTGTGTGTGTGTATATACATATACAGTTGAAGTTATTTTTTCCCCCAAATTTTGATTAGTGGAGAGGAAATTTTTTAACACATTTCTAAACATAATAGTTTTAATAACTTATTTCTAAAAAACTGATTTATTTTATCTATGCCATGATGACAGTAAATAATATTTGACTAGATATTTTTCAAGACACTTCTATACAGCTTAAAGTGGCATTTAAAGGCTTAACTAGGTTAATTAGGTTCAATAGGCCGGTTAGGGTAATTAGGCAAGTTATTCTATAACGGTGGTTTGTTCTCAAGACATTCGGAGAAAAATTAGATTAAAGGGGCTAATAATTTTGTCCCTAAAATTATTATTTTTTTTTTATTAAAACTTATTTTATTCTAGCCAAAATAAATTATCAGATTATTATATATTATACAATTATCAGACATACTGTGAAAATTTCCTTGCTATGTTAAACATAATTTAGTAAATAATTCTAAATTAAAAACAAAAATTCAAAGGGGGGTTAATAATTCTGACCTCAGCTGTGTATATACTGTATATATATATATATATATATATATATATATATATATATATATATATATATATATATATATATATATATATCAGAGGTCACCACAGCGGAATTAACAGCCAACTTTTCCAGCATATGTTTTACACAGCAGATGCCCTTCCAGCCCCAACCCATTATTGGGAAACACCATAAACACTCATTCACACAAACGCACACACACAACAGCCAATTTAGCTTATTCAATTCACCTATAGTGTGTCTTTGGACTTAGCTTATTCAACTCACCTATAGTGTGACTTTGGACTGTGTGGAAAACCGGAACACACAGAGGAAACCCACGCGAATACGGGGAGAACATGCAAACTCCACACAGAAATGCCAATTGACACAGCCGGGACTCAAAACAGTGACCTTCTTGCTGCGAGGCGACAGTGCTAACCACTGAGCCACCGTAATGGCCCATTTCTAGTAACTGATTTATTTGATTCATTATTTATTGTGAACTTAAAAAAAAATAAAAACAAATACAATAATAGTAGTACCATGATACAACGATAGCATCAGATTGTAACACTCTGGTACTTTTTTTTCTATTGTTTACTATGCCACTGTTTTATTTTTTAGATTTAAATGGTACTTCAAATACCATAGTATTACCATACTAACATATACAAAACAATCCTTTGTAATGTTTAAGTAGAAAATATAGGAGCCGGTATTAAAAGCGTTTATCTCTAACATACACAACTGAATCATTCATGATAGGAACACACACACGCACACACACACAGACTTAGCAGGATGTGTGAACGACTGCCCTGGATTAACATCCTGACCTGCCTGACTAATGCAGCAATCACTGTCTGACCTCCAACCTTCTGCTATCATACTTCATATCTGTAAAATCAATGATGTTCACACACACACTATCTCTCTCACACACACACACACACACACACACACACACACACACACACACACAGCTGCACAAGCTCCTCTCTAGTTTGAGTAGTCATCATGAGACTGCTGATCTGTAATTCTGAATGGCTGCTGTTGCCAAGGCAGATTCAGATCTCTCATCACACTGGCCGTCCTGCCACACACTGCGACACACAGATCTGTGAGAGGGCAATCAGAGAGATGGACACACGCTGACCGCCAGTGACAGAAGGGAGAGGCCAGAAGGCGGAGGAATTCGGCTCTTCTCCCATTCCTCTGATCAAGTCTCCAGCCGGGCCTGTGCCAACTTCATGCATGGGCTACAGAGAGAGAGAGA